ATGTGTGCAGAGGACTGTCCCACCATTCCTGACTGCAGGCACCCTCTGCATCCGGACACTATTTGTCCATTTTGTGGCCATGGGCGCTATACTGAAGGCATGCTCTTTTGTGGTGACCGTTCTTCTTTCATTTTGGCGTGCAATCGACATGCCATTTTTCGGGGATGTACAGTGGATGCCACCCTTAATGGCAATTGTTGCACTGAGAATGCTCAGCTAGGTCTTCCATGTGTTCATCCACCTCATCCTTACAATGTATGTCCTCTCTGTCGTCAAGGACAGACTCATTCTTGAGCCTTTTCTTATCCTCTTTCGTCTTCATTTTCACCCCACACTCCATACTTTCCCTTTCCCTTTATCATTCTTTGTTTGTCTGCTCTCCATCTCTCCTCCCTGTGTTTATCCCCTCCACCTTCACTCTGCCTCTTTTTCACAGCGTACAAGTGGGCTGTTATGGCACACAGGGATGGGGGCAGCTCGCGCTCAACTTCATCAACGTGGCGAGCCTTGTACGTGCGAGGCACAGTGAAAGGGGAGTCAAAAGAAGAATGAGAAAAATGACTGGTTTCAGTGTGTCCTTCATTTTTGTCTTGTTTTTTTAATTTTTTATTTTGCTGTTTGTTTCTCAAAGCGCGCTCTTTTAGTTCATAGTTATGCGACAATATATTGTGACGGGGTTGAGGTGGATTGTCACTTAAACCACCAGCACCCGCGAAGCAGCCTTCCCGAATCTTGTTTTTGGCAAGCTACTGAACCTCTTTGTCTTATGGGAATGCAAGTGGTAAGTGGTTGTGATACGGGGAGTTACTGGTCCTTCAATGCCAGCGACCAGTACAGCTGTACTGGTTGTTTGTTTGTTTTTTCCTCCATTTCTTTTTTTTTCTGCTTGCCTTTTTTATTCCCTTGGTTGTCCTTTTCCCCCATTGGGCAGCTCCTACTGCCAGAGGAGCTGTTAAAGGCGCGAGTGGCGGGCTCATTGTCGGAGAGCAGTTAAAGGCTCTACTGAAGTACGCATTCTTGAGAAGGGACATGCTCATTTTAACTGTATCTTTTCGTGTTCTAGGGGAGATTCAGGTGTGATTTTGGTAATTTTGAAACTAGTGCAGGGACGCCCCTGGCAGATCTCATAGGACGAGGCGCGCAACTCCAACATTCAGCACAAACCACAAAAATCATTGCAGTAAATCTTTTTTTTTCTTTTATTTTTTCCCAAAGATTGGCTGTGTCCCAGTGAATGGCCCAACAAAATTGGGGCCTCACTGCACGGATCCAATCATCCGAAAGCGAGTTGACCTATGCTGCCCCATTGCCAAGTGGACCGCGTGGTCCCTCAATAACAAAAATGCTTGCAGAACTCGTCGGCACGACTTTTCTACCTGCCTTTTGAAACTTAAGGCCGGACCTAAACTGCCTACAAGAGTTCTATTTGCCTAAAAAATCATGAACTTTGACTAAGTCGCAGTTCTCCCTACGAATATACATGTATACCCACTGTACGGTCTCTCTCGTTGCAACTAGAGGGATCCACAACGACATTTATTACTCCTTTTGGAGAGGATTGACTGCTCAGCACTCTTGTTTTCCAGTCCCGTATAGTTCTAGGCGCCTACCCTTTCCTAGAAAACACAATGAAAACCAACTCGACCCACTCGTCTCTGCCGTTGTTTCTGCGGCCTGATAACCTTGTTATGAACTTGGTTGTCTGACGATGTTTACGGCCACTCACATACACGCCCATACATGCATAAGAGAAGGGGGAGAGGAGACAGAGTCCACACTGCACACATATCAGAGTAGATAGCGGAAGCACAACCATGCACAGATGGGGAGAGGACACACAATGTTTCTCACTCTCTGACGATACTCCCAACAACAAATCACAAGAACGAACCTGCGAGGATAGCAATTGGAATACACACTGATGATGAGCCAAGTAACCAAAAATCGTTACAGAGTTTGTCCCAGTGTCTCGCCACACCCTAAACTCCACACTCCACTCTCTATCCTACACCGAGTTAGTAGCGCCGCACTGAATTGGCCTCCCAGAGGCCAGAGCCAACAACCTAGATGAAGAACAGATCCGACGATGAAGTCTTCAGTGTCGATGAACAACTCTATCGAAGAAACCGGCAGCTTTGGCTGCCGCCACGCACATAGACTCAGTGAGGAGTCTCCACACAACCCAACCGCTCCGAGAAACCCACAGGGGTTGATGCGCAGGGGATGCCCCAGCTATGGCAAGCCCTCAGCAGGATGGCTATGGCTGCTGTCCACGGTGAGGGTCTGAGGGAACCGCCTGCAGACAATCGCAGCTGCAATCCTCCTGGCTCCAGAACGTTGTATCGCGAAAATGAACTGGCAAAAAGTCCTAGACAGTCCTACTCTATCCTACTTGTAGATTCTTCACTACTCTAGCCTAGGGCCTACCGATAGCGGTCCAGTTAGGGCCTACTCGGCCTCTACGAAACCGGTCCTACTGCTGCACTTGGGGCTCAGGGCCACTTAGGGCCGGTAACCACTCAGCCCCTACAGCTGTTAGTCGCAGCTATTTTTAGAATAGCGGGCGGCCCTCAGTGCAAACCAAAAACACAGCAAAACACACAACACACTGTACAACCTCGCAGTTAGTCTTGGCAGTCGAAATCAGCAAGTCATTGCACGCTAACCCCCCGGGGGAGCGAGGACCTCCGAGCTAGGGATGTTGACGAGGTGAACGGCGAGGAAGGTTGCCCTTCTGAGCCGCTTCATATCGTAAGACAATTCACTTTGCTGTCTTGAGAAGTTCCCTTCTGTAGAACCATCTGCTCTCTGAAGGAGGCTGGAACGCGAACCTCACAAGATATTGCCGATCGGCGCCTGTGCCCCACTCATCCTCAATCCACTCCACGTCATATCCCTTGCCAGGGATCGGTGGACCAAACTGAGGAGGCCGGTCAGGGAATGCATAAGCTGGAGTAAATGGCAACATCTTGGATGCATGAAAAACCGGGTAGGTGCGTAGATGCAGAGGGACGTGAATGACATAGGACGGACCGAATAGATCAGCGCCCACTGTATCTAGGACCTGGCATGGACCCAAATAACGAGGCAACAACTTGGGGGAGATATCCTCCTCCCTCGACAACTCTGAACTGGCTACCCTGACATGATCACCAGTGCGGATGGGGGAAGGCCGCCTGTGGCGATTAGCTTGTTCAATCATCGCCTTTTGGGCTTTGAACAAGTTCGCCCGTGCTCTTTCCACACCCATGCGGTAGCGTCTGGTGAACTCTGCGGTGCTTGGAGTCAGATCAGACTTAGCCTTATCGATGATGTCATCGAGAGGCTGTCGTGGTTCATGTCCCCAGTGCAACCGATATGGGTTGAACCCAGTCGAGGAATGGACAGACATGTTATACATAAGTTGTTCTCGAGCCAAGTGAAGATCCCAGTCCTGCTGATCTGGCGAGATGACAGGGCGCAGCAATTGGAATAAGACTTGGTTCATCACTTCAGCCAGACCATTGGCTTCAGGATGATGACCAGAAGTCATGTCCAATCGTGAGTGTAGATAGTCCTTACAGTAGGACTGCCACTCATCGTTGCAGAATCGGGGGTCTCTATCACTGACTATAGAAGTGGGCGGTCCATGGTGTGTGACCCACCTCTCTGAAAAGGCTGCTCTCACAGTCGAAACTCTGGCCACTTCTGGCAAGGGGATGAACTCTGCGTATTTGGAGAATTTGTCCACGAAGACCATAACCTGACGCATGCCACGTGGGGTGGTCTTGCCTAAATCTGTGAAGTCGAAGTCTATCGACACAGATTCAGCAGGGCCATCAGGTATTTGTAAGGGTTTGAGCAGTCCCAAAGGAGGCCTACGCTGGACCTTATTCCTTTGGCAGAGCTCGCAGGTTTCCACATCGCGCAACATCTCACTCCACATCTCCTTCCAGAAGAAGCGTTGCGACAGGGCTGCATATGACTTTAGGAACCCAAAATGTCCACGGGCATCATGACACTCTGACATCAGTAGTGTACTGAGCTGCTGGTCCTGGGGAATGCACAAGCGCTCCTCCCCTCTGCTGTAAGTGTATAGCAGATCTGAACTCAGAGCATAGCCTGGTTCAGAGTTAGGGTCTGCTTGCAGATTCCTGACTATGGGTCCGAAAGTCGGGTTTTGAGGCAGTAGATGAGCGATGGTCTGACGGGTCTCCTCTCCAAAGGAGTGAGTAGAGGAGATCACTGCAAAAGAGTCAAGCCTACGAGAGAGGGCATCTGCTACCTTGTTGTAGCAGCCCTTCTTATGTTTCAGTTCAAAGTCAAACATGTCTATGAACTGAATGTACCGTGCCAGCTTATCATTCAGCTCTCCCTGGGACTTAATCCACTGTAGGGTGGATTGATCTAAAAAGATCTTGAAGTGTCTTCCCAGGAGAAAGTGCTTCCAATTTTCAGGGCACAGACAAGAGCATATACCTCTTTCTCGTAGGTAGAGTCCTTTAGCTTTTGAGTTTCGATCTTCTTACTCATAAACTCTACAGGCCGTAGACCATTCCCATCATCTTGCTGAAGAAATGCCCCAATGCCATACTGACTGGCATCATTGGTCAGGATGAATGGCAAAGTGGGGTCAGGCAATTTCAGCACAGGTGCACGAGTCAAGGCCTTCTTGAGTCGTGTGAAGGTCAACTGACAGTGGAGGGACCAAAGAAAAGGGGTGTCTTTGTTTGTTCGGTTGGTCAGGGGTGCAACCACTACAAAAAAGTTCCTGACAAACTTTCTGTAGTAGGAGGCTAAACCCATGAAGGACCTGACATCCCTCAGTGTCTGTGGTTGAGGCTACTCCTGAATAGCAGCAATGATGGCTGCTTTAGGAGCCAGGCCATCTCCAGAGATTACGTGACCCAGATAGATGACAGAGGGAACTCCAAAAGAGGACTTCTCTCTGTTGATCTTATACTGGCTATCGCGTCATGACCGAATGACCAAAGCCAAATGCTCCGCATGTTCCCTGACAGTTTTGCTGAATACCAGGATGTCATCCAGGTAGACAACCATGAACTTGTCCAGGTAAGGTTTGAAGATGCGGTGCATCTCTGTCTGGAAGGTACTTGGGGCGTTGCAAAGTCCGAATGGCATGACCAGGAACTCGTAAGTACCATATCTGGTCTTGAAGGCTGTCTTGTAGACATCCTCCTCATCCATCTCAATCTGGTGGTAGCCAGATTTGGGGTCGACTTTGCTGAACATGGTGCAGCCCTGCACCATATCCAGAAGGTGATCGATCCTAGGAAGTGGCTTTGTACTCTTCCTAGTGATCTTGTTGAGACCCCTATAGTCAATGCACATTCAGAACTCGCCATTCCCTTTGGGTACAAAGAGAACGGTGTAGGGCCAAACCCCGGTAGACTTTCGAGCCTTAGTCGACCCCATTGCGGGTCCCAGTTGGCTCGGCCCGCCCACGCTCATGCTCCTGGCGTGGGCTGTTCGTCCCGAGGTACTCCCGCCTAGTGCTTTGAGATGGATGGGGTTGGGCCGTCGCGTGAGAGAGCTTTGACATTGAGGATGTAGCTCATCCCTCACGCCGGGTGGTAGTCTTGCTGGTCGTCCCGCAACGCTGATTTTTTTTTTTTGATTCTTTGTTGTGTTATCATGCAATTGCTCCTTCCAATACGCAACCAGTTCAGGGATTCTTTGTGCATTTCTCTTCTCTTGTGCGTAGGCTAAGCGTCATCCTTAGGCCACACACCATTTCCCTAAGCATTTGGCTATATGCCGTCATCGGGATGCGGCGGAGCCGTTCTCTCCCTCGCCCCTACGCATCCATCGGATCTCACAGTTTGCTTCCCACCTTATTGAAGTAGGCCGCTTAGTCTTTTCGGGGTCCTCATATGCATGCACACACAACATCACATTTTCCTCGGTACGTTTGCACTTTCAATCACACTTATAAGTCTCAAGTGCAAAAGTCATTTTCATGAGTTGGCTCTACATCGAGGGTCCCATAGCCCGTTTATCCCTCTTCCCTTTCCTTCTTGGTGCCCAGTTCCTCTCGCCCTTATCCCGCTCAAGGCATTTCTAGCCATTACTCACCTGCACAATCCCACACAAGCAAGAAGATCCATACAATGTCCCCCGCTGGGGCCCGCTGGGGGTGAACACATAGCCGTTCCCACATGCCTATCCTTTCCATGCCCTTTGGTTGTGCTTTGTTCCCTTGTTGTTCAATCAGCCCATCCTCTTCTCATAGTCATGCAGTCGGGGAAATGGTTGAGTCAAACTGACCTCTCTCTCAACTTATGCTTCCTTCCGGATCCCGCCTTTCTCCCACTTTTTCAAACACCCTTTCTTTTGCCTTCTTGGTGGCACAAGGGACGACTATCCTCCCCTTGTGCTCTTTCTCCACCAAGTGAGGTGTGATTTCGGTCACCGTCCGTACCCTGGCAATGTTTCCAAGGGAGGGGAGAAGGGTTAGTCATATGCCAAGTGAGGGGGAGGTGTGATTTCGGTCACCGTCCGTACCCTGGCAATGTTTCCAAGGGAGGGGAGAAGGGTTAGTCATATGCCAAGTGAGGGGGAGGGAGAGAGAGAGAGAGAGAGAGAGAGAGAGAGAGAGAGAGAGAGAGAGAGAGAGAGAGAGAGAGAGAGAGAGAGAGAGAGAGAGAG